CATGTGGCCGGCAGCCATCATCCACACTCCTCTGCGAAGGTGGAGCCCCAAAATATCAACATCAAAGGTGTTTCTATTTCCATAAGGGCAGATGGATGAGATTTTTATAGGCAGCCCAACCTTTGGCATCTTCAGACTCATACTCCCTTTCCTTTGTACTAATCTCTTCATTAAATAGCTTTTGAAAGTTTAGTATTGTTGAGTGAGTGTGTGTATGCAAGTATGTGTGTGTGCACACATATGTGTGATGACAGTTACCCTTGAGGGAGATATGTGTGAGTGGATTTGACCCTGGCCTAGAGAGATGATTTGTATATGAAACCATATAGATAATCCCAGTCTCAGAAATGGATGTTATTCCAAAGTTCATTGGTAAGTCAGTAGTTTGGAACTTGGAACACATTTTCTCATAAAAGAAATGTTCTACATGGTGGATAAAGTGCCTGGTCGACTCACAGAAGTCTGTTTAACTCTTTCTGTACCTGAAGCAAAACTGTTAGTAACTCTAGAGAATAATATTTCAATGGGAACAAATACTCAGAGTTCTGCCATATAAGGTTGAAAACCACTGACTATAAAATTGTAATTAGCCTCCTAAAATACTTCCTCTTTACTCCTTCCTTCAACAAATGACCAAGAGTAGCTACTCCTACTACAAATTATTTCTTGACTATATTAAGTTAAAACAGTGTTTGTTTCCTCGGGTTATTTTATGTACTTTGAAACTAGCAAAAGGGAGACATATAACAAGAAAAATGTTTCCTTAAGCATTCATGACCTGTTCCAAACTTGGTTGCTTGTATTTTTTCCTGGCTGGCTCTCTCTGCATACCAGTAGCAGATCAGTGAGCTGCAGAAAGCTATGGTCCCTGTCCTTACGTTTCTTTTTATATCAGAACTGTATATTTGCTTTTCTTACCTTATCTTCACCTTTCCCTTAGGTTTTAAAATTGGCCTTACAATTTACTAGGAGTCTAGAATACCTAAGTACTGAACTATATTCTAGGTCACTCTGACCACAGGAATCAGAAGTGTTTTAACTACATAATACACAGATTATGATATAAGTTGTATAAATATATCACAGAGCCCCAAGCCTGGAGAGAACCTTCAAAGATTGTCTAGTCTAGTCCCTGGACTACAGACAAGCCAAACCATTCCAAACAGATGAGACATGAAGGGAGGTTCTGGAAGAGAGGGATGACTGTGCTGTTAACCCTTCCTGGATTTAACAGCCTGCAAACGATTAATAAATTACTCTTCACTTTTAATCTAAAGCCTTCTAGTTACATTTCCAATGTTATTTTTCTTTCTCATGCTTGCTCCTCATAGGAAACAAAGTAGGTTTAGCTGTATAAAGCCTTATGTGTATTTAAGTGCCCCTGTATTTTGTGAAGGAACCCTGGTGGCATAGTGCCTGAGGCATTTGACTGCTAACCAGAAGGCTGTCGGTTCAAACCCACCAGCCACTCCCCAGAAGGAAGGTTGGGCAATCTACTTCCATAGTGATACCACCTCAGAAACCCAAGGAAGGGTTGCGATGAGTCAGATCCAACTCAACAGAAGGGAGTTTGGGTTTTTTTTTAGTTTTATATTTTGTGAAGCTCACATATTGCTAGGATACTAAACAGGTCTTAGCGGACCTTCCAGACTAGTGTAGACTAGGAAGAAAGGCCTGGTGATCCATTTCCGAAAATCAGCCAGTGAAAACCCTCTAGATCACAACAGTGCAATCCATGGCCGGTCATGGAGATGGCACAGGACCGGGCAGCGTTCTGCTCCATTGCACATGGGGCCACCATGAGTCGGTGGCCACCTTGAAGGCAGCCAAGAGCAACAACAATGTATTTTGTGTTCTCACTTTCAGAGCATTCCTAAGCATCTCAGTGCCTGCTGCTTCCATTACCTTTGTCTTGGTCTCTCTGTGTTGTCTGCATCCCTCTTCAACAGTGGGAGACATCATGTTACCATGTTTTATGAGGCAGTTGGGAACTGAGCATGGATTACCTTATAGTTTCCACACATAAAAGAATATTTAAGCATAATCTGATAAGCTGACTGAGATGTAGACTCAAGGGAAAACAAAATTAAATAATTACAATAAAACTCCAGTAACATAAGCTTTTTACTTATTATTTATTTGTTACAATTTCCTTTCCAGCAGTAAAAAGGGCATGACCAGAATAATCATATTAGCTCTTCAATCAGGTAATGGAATCAAAGAGAGCCTCCCCCCAAGAAGCAAAAGCTATTCCTAAAGTGGGTTATCCATGAATGTCACTATGGACTGAATTCTATCTTCAGACAGGTATGCTGAAGTCCTAGTTCCCAGTATCTGTGAATTTGACCTTGTTTGGAAATAGATGTTATCCTGCTGAAGTAGTGTGGGTCTTAACACAACAGGAGTGGTGTCTTTACCAAAGAGAAGAGTCAAAGACAGATCCAGAGGGAAGATGGCCACATAAACGTGGAGACAAGTTGCAGTTGCAAATCAAGGAACGCAAGGGACCACCAGCAGCAGAGAGAGACAAGACAGGAACTTCACCTAGAGCCTTCAGAGAGAGCATGGCCCTGCTGACATCTTGGTTTTGACTTCTAACTTCCAGAGCTATGAGAGAATAAATGTTTACTGTGTCAAGAAAGTACTCACTTTGTGGAACTTGGTTACAGTAACCTTCGAAATGAATATGGTCACTTTTCTATAAGAGATAAACCTCAAAATTTTTTTTGCTGATTGGTAAAGCCTAGTTTCCAAAGGAATGAGCATTGTGATCTCTACTCTGGAAAACACTATACATACTGGTTATGTAACAAGTACTGTTGGTTATGATACTGTTTCTAAAACAGTTCCACTTTCCTCCAAGATGAAAGACAAAGATGGACTATTGAATATTAATTAGTAATGGAATTTCATCTGCTTATGAGGTTTTATATGCCTCAAAAGTCAGGATTATGTCCAAAAGAAATGAGCATGCGTAAAAATTTTCATAACTCTGATCTCACCTGATATTCAATCATGCTGTTGTTGTTGTTAGGTGCTGTCGAGTTGACTCTGACGCATAGGGACCCCACATACAATGAACGAAACACTGCCTGGTCCTGTGCCAGCCTCACAATCCCTGCTATGCCTGAGCCCATCGTTGCAGCCACTGTGTCAATCCATCTCGTTGAGAGCCTTCCCCTTTTTCACTGACCCTCCACTTTCCAAGCATGATCTCCTTCTCCAGGGAATTGTCCCTTCTGACCACATGACCCTAGTACGTGAGACAAAGTCTGGCCATTCTCACTTCCAGGGAACATTCTGGCTGCACTTCTGCCAGGACAGATTTGTTAGTTCTTCTGGCATCCTGGTACTTTGAGTATTCTTTGCCAACACCACAGTTCAAAAGCATCAACTCTTTTTTACTCTTTCTTATTCATTATTCGGGAGCTCTGGTAGCATAGTGGCTAAGACACTTGCCTGCTAACCAGATGGCTGGCGGTTCAAACCCACCAGCCACTCCTCGGAAGGAAGGTTGGGCAATCCTACTTCCGTAGTGGTAACTGCCTCGGAAACCCAAGGAGGGGTCGCTATGAGTCGGGCCTACTCGACGGCACATAACAACAACAACAACATTCATTATTCAGCTTTCATATGCATATGAAGCACACACCATGGCTTGTAAAGGCGTACCTTAGTCTTCAAAGAGACATCTTTGCTCTTCAACACTTTAAAGAGGTCTTTTGCAGCATATTTGCCCTGTGCAAAATGTCATCTGATTTCCTGACTGCTGCTTCCATAGGTGTTGATTGTATAACCAAGTAATATGAAACCATATTGAACTATGGGCCCTGTTTAATCCCCAAACTCGTAACTGATGTATTACCACTCATTGAGTGACTGCTGATGCTAAGCATCTAAGGGGAAAGAAGCAGCTGTCTGAGGACCAGTTTGGCCAACTTGACCCTATAAAATGATCAGCAGACAGTGAATAAGGAAGACCGAAGAAGCATCAGAGCACAAGGCCCCCTATTGTCCAAGCACCTCACTGCAGACTGCTAAGGCTACCCACATACAAGATTCCAAAGCAGTCAGTCTTCATGGCTCCTGGGAGAATACAACACTTGTGTTTGGCTGCTAACTGAAAGGTTAGAAGTTTGAGTCCACCCAGAGGTCCCTCAGAAGAAAGGCCTGGTGATCCACTTCTGAAAAATCAGCACTGAAAGCCTTGCAGAGCCCTGTTCTAATCTAACAGTCATGGGGTCACGTGAGATGGAATGACTCGACAGCAATTGGCTTAGTGGTTTTACTTTTCCACCACCATGGGGCCTCCAGAACGCTGTCTGTTACCAAACAAGAAGCTCGTTTCCCCATCAGCCATCGGATTCCTGGTCAAAAGAGGATTTTCTCCTTACTATACTAACCATGAACATTTAGGACTCTTGGGAGAAAATGAAGAGGAAAATATATTATAAGAAAGTTTTCTCACTTTTGCTGTCAGGATGTCAGCATTATTCATAGCTTAATGGTATAAGTGTTTATGTATGCATTTTTAATTTTAGCTAAATAGATAATGACAAGTCTATACTGTCCTCAGGAGCTCTGGTAGCATAGTGCCTAAGGCACTTGCCTGCTAACCAGGAGACTGGCAGTTCAAACCCACCAGCCACTCCTCGGAAGGAAGGTTGGGCAATCCTACTTCCGTGGTGATACAGCCTCGGAAACCCAAGGAGGGGTCGCTATGAGTCGGGGCTGACTCGATGGCAAATAACAACAACAACAACATATTGTCCTCAATTGGTATTAATAAATGTATCCCTCCAGGAAAACTTCCTAGTTTAAAAAAGCTTCCTTCACAATCCTTAACTTGAATTTCCTTCCACACTCCAGCAAAAGCACAGCATGAAATTGCAACTCTGGTCTTCATTTGCAGGAGTTTCAACGATGTCCTACAAGGCCCACTAATTACATAAATGAATTGAAGGAAAATATAATTTAACAATTGGGCAAAGGCAACTTACTTGTTCATTTTTAGTAAGCCTGGTTTTGTTGTGAATGTCGGAAGTGACCAAATTGAATCCATGCTTCTCAGACAAGATCCTCAGAAGTAAGACCACAGTACGACTCCCACACTTGCCCACTCTGTTGTATACCACCTGGCTCGGGAACGGCAGTACCTGGGGAAAGAACGAGACAGCACGTTCGACTCACGTACGAAATATCAATGGTTCCACCGTCAATCTCAGAACAAGACAGGTCTGATAACTTGGAATGACAAGGGACGATATCAAGCTAAAGAGACAACAGAAGGGATGAACTGCAACTGATCTTCATAACATAAGTTAGGAGAAATGCTGGAATTGTTATCTCTGCATCCACACTGGTACTAGTCAAGTTTCGTGCAGGCTATGAAAATTGATTATGAAGTTTCTTCTTTATTTTTTTTGTTAAGAAAAACATATACAAAGATGGGCTTTAATGCTACTGATTTTTGTAAGTTATATTATGCTTTCTCAGAACATCTTAATTTGTAGAGTGATCAAGGAAAAATATAATTTTTGAGGTTGAGATATAATTCACACTTCACGAGATTCACCTTTTCTAAATGTGCAATTCAATGGTTTCTAATAGACAGGTAGCTAGCCTCCAACTTAGGATGTATTCAAGTTACGATGACCGTTCTTTTACTTTTTTTTGTACATCATATCATTAGTTACACACACTACATCCAATGTCACAGCACAAAATTTCCTAATGTCATCATATCTTTAAGTTTATATGTTTTATGTTTATATGTTTAATGTTTTCAACCTCCAAAGACATTTAAAGACCAGATTTATAAAGATACTGACAATAAAAGGCAATAATGGTGAAAACTTGAAAAAAAAAAAAAGGTATTTCACTTACTTCAGAATCAATTTAGGACGAAGCTGTCAGAATGAACAACTTGTTGACCCCTGTTGTGGGTCGGGTTCTACTTCTGTTTGCAAAGTTGTGCAACCCTCACCATTATCTAATTCTAGAACAGTCTGAAAAGAATCTCCAAGCCCACTAGCAGTCACTTCTTTGCAGCCCCTGGAAATGACTCTACTTCTGTCTCTACAGAATTCTGGGCATTTCACACCAATTGAATCATACAATACATGGCTTTTTATGTCTGGTTTCTTTCACTTAGCATAGTGTTTGAAAGGTTCAATCATGCTGTGACATGAATCAGTACTTCACTCCTTTACTTTAAATGGCTAAATAATACTCCATTGTACGGATATACCACATTTTGCTTATCCATTTATCAAGTGACAGACATCTGGATTATTTCCACTCTTTGGCTATTATGTGTAATGTTGTTATGTGCATTTGTAAACGAGTTTTTGGGTGGACATATGTTTCCAATTATCTTGAGTATATAGCTAGCAATGGAATTGCTGAGTCATGGCTACTCTATGTTTAATTTTTTCAGAAGCTGCCAAAGGTTTTCAAAGCAGCTGTACCCTTTTTATTCCTACCAATAATGTATGAGGGTTCCAGTTTCTCCTTATCCTTGCCAACATTTGTTATTTTATTTTATTTTTTTTCAAATATATATCTAGCCATCCCAGGGCACATGAAGTAGTATCTCATGTGGTTCTTATTTGCCTTTCTCTAATGACTAGTGCAGGAGCTCTGGTAGCATAGTGCCTAAGGCACTTGACTGGTAACCAGAAGGCTGGTGGTTCAAACCCACCAGCCACTCCTCAGAAGGAAGGTTGGGCAATCTATTTCTGTAGTGATACTGCCTCGGAAACCCAAGGAGGGGTCGCTATGAGCCGGGTCCGACTCTACGGCACATAACAACAACAACAATGACTAGTGCTGTTAAGCATCTTTTCATGTACTTATTGTCCTTTTGTGTATTTTCTTTGGAAAAATGTCTATTCAAATCATTTGCCCATATTAAATTGGGTTATTTTTATTGTTGAGTTTGAAGAGTTCTGTATATATTCTGGAAAATAGACCTTTATCAGAGATACGATTTGCAAATATTTTCTCCCGTTGTCTGCTTTGCCTTTTCACACTCTCAATAGCGTCCTTTGAAGGACCAAATCCAAAGTCAAACACGTTGCTGTCAAGACAATTCCGGCTCACGGGGACCACATGTGCTACAGAGTAGAGCTGATTCATGGACTTTATTGGCTGCAATCTTTACAGAAGATTGCCAAGCCTTTCTTCTGCTGTGCCACGGCTGGGTCCAAAACATCAACCTTTATGTCAGCAGATGCGTGCAAACCGTTTGTACCACCCAATGAACTTCCTTGAAACACAATGTTTTAACTTTGATGAAATCTAATTTATCTCTTTTTTTCTTTGGTTGCTTGTGCTTTTGGTGTCATAGCTAAGAAACCAATGCCTAAACTAAAGTCACAAAGATATACACCTGTGTTTCCTCATAAGCATTTTATAGTTTTAGCTCTAACATTTAGGTCTTTGATTCTTTTTACTTAATGTTGTGTATGGTGTGAGGTGGAGGTACAACTTCATTCTCTTGCATGTGGAAATCCAGTTGTCCCAGAACCATTTGTTGGAGAGAGTAGTCTTTGGGTATTTAATTGTTTGGTACCTTTGTTGAAAATCTGTTAACCGTATGTATGGGTTATTTCCGAATTTTTTTTCCTGTCTTCTAGCACAGTATTCAACAGCAATGAGAACTGTTACAGCTCACCTGATGACCTGGAAGATGTGAGCTACCACGTACATAAGTACTTTATTCCAAGAGCTACAGGTATATTGGAAGATTTAAATGAAGAACTGAAGCACCTAGAAAACTTAGGTGAAAGAACGTGATTTCACCTGCATTGCTTGGGTAATTGACACAGTAGCAAGCTTAGGATCTATCTGCTTCTTTGCTAATAACCAAACATATTGTTTATGTTTAGGTCATTGGTTACTTTGTTTTAAAAAAGATGCTAATTCCAAATTATTTCCTTAAGGAGCTCTGGTGGTACAGTGGTTAAGGCATTTGGTTGCTCACTAAAAAGGTCAGTGGTTCTAACCTACCAGTTGCTCCAAGGAAGAAAGACGAGGCATTCTGATTCTGTAACATTTAGAGATTTAAGATTATTTCCTCAGTCTTGTAGAAAGCTCACAAATAATGGTTAGAAATCTGTTATTTAAAAAGAACACATATAAAAACAAAAATCCCTGCATTATTCCTGCAATTGAAGCTATAATAATACTAGAAAAGAAAGGAGAGCATAACATCCCACTGACTCTATTCCCACCATTTCTCTATACATAAGTATACCAATTGCATGGTATGAACGCAGAATTGGAAAATATATTTTCACAGGAAACTTCCAGTCAGTTTTGTGAGTCTTTAAATCATACATCATCACAGACATAAACCTCTCTCCAATTTAGGGTGGGGGTTTTAAAATATTTTTGAAAAGAACCTATGTGGCAAACAAACCAAACCCACTCATAGTGATTCTGACTCACAGTGACCCTATAAGACAGAGTTGAACTGCTCTATAGGGTTTCCAATGCTGTAAATTTTACAGAAGCAGACTGCCTCATCTTTCCCCTGCAAAGCAGTTGGTGGACTTGAACCACCGACCTTTTAGTTAGCAGCCAAATGCTTTAACCACTGCCCCACCAGAGCTCCTTAAGGAAATAATTGAAATTAGCATTTTCTTTTTTAAACAAATAAGGCAGGTTAAATCAATTGGTTGCTGTTGGACAAGGTATTAAAGTTCCCAACAACAACACAAAAACTTGGTTCATCACTGCTTTTGTAAAACTATAGATTTGCTCTGAACATTTGTTTAATAATGCTGTCATCTTTTATTCAAAGTGTTCTTCCCGCTAAGAAGGTGAAAAGTGACTGATTTTTATGGAAGGCTGACACATCCTAGGTGATATGCCATGTAAATTGTTCTTGATCCTTGTTAACAGTCCTGAATCACTGAAAAATTTTATTCTATCTGTGCCTTTTTTGAAGAGTTTACATGATCCAATAGCTTAATAATTATCACTATCATCTAAGAGATCCTGTGTGTCTTTCCCTTTCTCTCCACACATCATAGACTCAAAGAACAAGCAGGTTTGAGGTCTAAAAGCAACTTACAAGAATCCATCCATTGCAGTCCTCCCCAACATCACCCTCTTCACCCCCACCCCCAGGCCAATCCGTGTTGGACTTGGATAAAAACTTTCATTTATATTATGTTCCTTTGTCCCGTCAACATCGCTGTGACGTGGACAGCATCACTACCTTCAGATGAATAAATTGATTTTTTGTTTGACTTCTGCAACAAAGATACTACTTCTATTTTTATGTCTTCAGCGTATCCCACTTCATTAAAAGCTGTTTTTCAATAGTCAGTGATCACAGCCACTAGTATCAGCCATGACTCATCCATTGCCTGAGTGCCTGGAAGGTTTAACTGGAACTGAGAGCCTACGAGTCCTGTTCTCCTTCCTGAGGACTCAATCTAGCAAGTAACCAAAGCTCAGAGTTCCCGGGAGCTCATGGGAGAAGACAGCAGGAAGTAGTTTTCTCCTCATTCCTTCCCCTGCTATAGCATAGGCAGGCACAGCAGACGGCTGCCTTGGACAGTGTGAACAAGGGGAAGTATCGGAAGCAGTAAGTTACAATGAAATCTACATGAAATCCTAAATGCACTTAAACTGTCCATCAAGACAAGCAAATGCCCTCACACAATATACTTAATGACTACAAGAAGATTTTTAAAGACCTTTTAAGATCAAACTCAAATGCCCCATTTTCTTTAACAGATATTTGTCAATTGCCAGATGGAAATCGACATCCCTAACTTCACCATCCCTATTAGCAGTTGCATTTGGTGGTGCAATGGTTAAATGGTTGGCTGCTAACCAAAAGATTGGTGTTTCAACCCCACCAGCTGCCCCACGGGAGAAAAGACTGGCAATCTAGCTGCTCCTGTAAAGATTACAGCTTAGGAAACTTTATGGGGCAGCTCTGCTCTGTCCTACATGGTTGCTGTGAGTTGGAACTGACTCCATAGCACACAACATGATCATTTGCACACGAATTCCCAATACTCTACAGAGGAGCACATTCGAAAAGCCCTTGTCTGCCTGCCACCCCTTCCAATGATTCTTCATTCTTGGCAGCCATGGTCATATGAATGTTATGTCTGTGGTTTCTATTTTATGG